AGAAAACTCTCAAGTCACCATTCCAAACCAGAAAACTCTCAAGTCACCATAGAAAACCAGAAAACTCTCAAGTCATCGTCCAAAACAGAAAACCTGGAAGTGCCTCGTTGAAAAAAGCAGCTGCAGGATGTAAAACTGTTTTGTTTTTCAGGTCGCTCCAACAGACCAGAGCAGGTTTTCTTATTCAGACTTCCTGATGATATTAAGATGTAAATGATCTCGGTTTTGTTTTCTTTTAAAAACAATGCAGTGTGTACATATCATCCAGAGGACGGTTTTCATTTTTAATTTTGTCTGCTGTAAATAATTTTGTATTTATGGAAGAGAATTGTATATATGTTCTTGTTAATGTTTCAGTCAGAATCAAGAAATATATATTTTTCATAAATGAATCATACAATATTTGTGTTGTTTTTATTGCAGTTTTCCTCAGGAAGCCGAAAATCTGAATCATCCGAGCTGCAACTAAAACACGGAGCTGGATTATATTCTGGATTCACATAGAACTATTTTTCCAGATCATTTCATGATTTTATTAGATCTGTTACAAAAATAACCAAGAAGTTTTATTAATCAGTTTAACTGAGATGTATAAATGGTGTAATAATAATAATCATTATCATTATTCTGCTGGTTTAGCCCTCAGCATCACAGGTCCTCCTCCGTATCAAACTATGGGTGTTTGGTCCTTTTGACCAGACGGCTGTGGCCTAGTTAAAGTCCCAGCAGCTGGCAGGCCTTAGTATGTTGCATCATTTTTCTTCCCAGTGGAAACAAGAAGTTATAAATTACAAATTAGAAACTAATGAAAACATGAATCACTGATGCAGTTTTTACTTTTATCATTTAAAAGAAATTTATTTTTGAACTTTTAATCACTGATTCATTAAAGTTAAAGGTCAAAGCAGATATTTAACTTTCACTGTAAAAAATTACACGTTTTCCTGTCTGACATTAAAATAAATTCTGTTTCAGGATGAACTGAATTATTTATTCTAAACATTTATAAATGAGAATATTAATTTATTTTATCACAAAGTGAAAGATTAATAACTGATGGATGTTTGAAAGCCTTTTTCTGTTAATCATGATGATTTTCTTTTTAAAGTCGATGACAACAAATTTAGCATTTAAATATTACATGAGAACAATAAAAAAATGAAAAACCTTTTTAAGAACAGAACTGTGGCTTAATGCAGAGCATATTTAATACCTGCTTAATGTTTATTTTAATCTGACAGAAACTCATTGGGACACATTTATTCAAAATGACTAGAGTTAAACTTAAATACATTTGTTTTATAAAAATTATTAAAAATTGTTTATTTTTTTACTGAGATGTCAGAGTAAAGGGGATGAACACAAATGCATGCCGCACTTTTAGGATTTTCACATAAAATAATTTCCCAAAGACGATCCGGGCAAAAACATAAATGAAAATTAAATAATGAGTTTTCTTTTAGGAAGGCGGCGATAAGTAAAAGTCAGAGGTCAGGAGGAATCCTGAGTCCTCAAAGAAAACGTTTCACAAATTTCTCAAGAAGTTCAGGCTGCAGAACCGA